AAAATATTCTAAAAATTCGTTAATATTTACAAAATTTCTTAAATACCAAAACTTTTTTTGAAAGTTTTGTAATTATTTTAAATATCGAAACAAAAAAACACCCCAATTACAAATCGATTTTAGAAACAAATTTTTTCTTGATCAAACAGGCCTATTGCATCATAGATATAGATAGATATGCTTCACACACACACAGATATAGTATCATAGATTTGAAAGAGACCCTTAAAGAAGGACTAGGATATGTTACATATTCCAGGGGTGGGCAAACCAGACACTCTCCACATCAACACTGACAGAGAAACAAGAAGTACTGTTTACTCACAAGCATAAAGGAATTACATATATAAGAAAACAACACTTTCTCATTACTTTATTTTCCAGATCATCAGACTGGGCCACAGCAACGTGTGGCAGGGGACAACTAGGGGACAACACACACACACGCACACACACACACACTAGCCGTCACCTGCCACGTGTTGCTGTGGGCCACTCTGGTGGTCATGGGGGTTCTGTGTGGGAGGTTTGGCCCAATTCTATCGTTGGTGGGGTTCAGAATGCTCTGTGATTGTAGGTGAACTACAAATCCCAGCAACTATAACTCCCAAATGTCAAGATTCTATTTTCCCCAAATTCCACCACTGTTTACATCTGGGCATATTGAGTATTCGTGTAGAGTTTGGTCCAGATCCATCATTGTTTGAGTCCACAGTGATCTCTGGATCTAGGTGATCTACAACTCCAAAACCAAAGGACACTGCCCACCGAACCCTTCCAGTATTTTCTGTTAGTCATGGGAGAACTGTTTGCCAAGTTTGGTTCAGTTCCATCATTGGTGGGGTTCAGAATGCTCTTTTATTGTTGGTAAAATATAAATTGTAGCAACTACAACTCCCACATGACAAAATCAATTTTTTTGAGTGAAGGACATACAACGGGTTGTTAGGTGTCTCGTGTCCAAATTTGGTGTCAATTCCCCCAGTGGTTTTTGAGTTCTGTTAATCCCACAAATGAACATTACATTGGGTTGTTGTAGGTTTTTTCGGGCTATATGGCCATGTTCTAGAGGCATTTTCTCCTGACGTTTTGCCTGCATCTATGGCAAGCATCCTCAGAGGTATGAGGTCTGTTGGAATTAGGACAATGGGTTTATATATCTGTGGAATGACCAGGGTGGGACAAAAGACTCTTGTCTGCTGGAGCTAGGTTTGAATGTTTCAACTGACTACCTTGATTAGCATTTGATGGCCTGGCAGTGCCTGGAGCAATCTTTTGTTGAGAGGTGATTAGATGTCCTTGTTTGTTTCCTCTCTGTTGCTGTGCTGTTCTAATTTTAGAGTTTTTAATACAGGTAGCCAGAACATTACATTTTTATTTATATAGATGTAAATATTGAAAAACACATAAACTCTATTTTTATTTTGAAATGTACCCATAGCAGCTGCGTTCCCCATCCTCGGCTTATACATTTTCTCTTTTTTTTGTGGCAAAATTAAGTGTCTCAGCTTATATTCAGGTCAGCTTGTATTCAAGTATATACGATAATCAACCACACATAAAACTTGAGCATTTTTTGGAGGGGGGGGGGGGGTTAAACAACCAGTCTCTGGGAGCTACAAAAATGGTGGAAACATGTATTTCCCCCTGTTTTTCAGCTAATAAATTAAAGGGAAATTTCCCTGTTCCAGAACATCAATGCAACACCATTCTGAAACACTAAACCAAGTGTGAAGGGAAATTACAATTTAATACAGCAAAGCTACCTCCCATTGTCAGGAGCTGTTTTAATAAAGTCCCTTCACACACACACACACAGACACCACATTTCCTGTTACAGACCGTTCGGTTCCATTGGGCTTTAATGCCTTATAATGCTTTCCTTGCGCTTTCATTTTAATTTTAATGCCACTCTCAACATTTTATGATATGACATTTTTCCTCTGTTTCTTAGATTTATGGCACTTTTTTAGTGTTCACCAGCCAGTGCCAATAACATGGAGATTGCTATTTATACATGTCGCAAATGAACAGAAAAGCATGAACAAGTCACACCAATGAGTCGTTAAAAATTAAGAAATTGTACTTTGGTTTGGCAGATTGCAATTTATTTATTTGTCGTGTCAAGGCAACTAGTCAATAGGCTTGGGCGGTTTCGTTCGTTAATTTCGTAATTCGTTATTAATTCGTATTTAAATTAGCTTACGATCCAATATTGAGCCATGCAGGAATAGTGTGAGGAGTAAATTAGATTCGAAACAATTTTTTCAATTTATTTCGTAATTATTTTGTAATTATTTCATAATTATTTCATAATTATTTTCGCATGCCTGGTGCAAGTTTTATAGTTGTTGTGTGTTTTATCACACCAACAGTCAACAACAGAGAGAGAGGGAAGCTTCAGAAGTTCCTCCTGTCCCATTTGGAGGGTTTTTTAGCATATTGCGCAATCTCGTCCGCCATTAACGAATCGATTCGAAATTTTACAAAATTTCGTATATTTCGAAATTTTGAAAAGGAAAATTTCGGAATTATTAAAAAAAACAAAACGCAAGGGCCCCCTAAAAAC